GCAGTGGCAGTTGCAGTTGCAGTTGCAGATGCCGTCGTCGTCGCCGGCGCCGTTCTCCTCGTCGTCGTCGCTGCGGCGCTGGTGGTGGCGGCGGTGGTGGTGAGGGTGGTGGTGGTGGCGCTGAGGTGGTGGGGGTAAGGGTGTTGTCGGTGGTGGGAGTGGTGGTGGTGGCTCAATCTGACTATTCACGCGTTGCGACTTCAAGCAGCTGCCACTACTAACAGCATTATGCCTTTCTTTGTTGGTGTGGTTAAGACAAGCGCGCAATGAGCTGCCAATAGTTTTTTAAAGTCTGCACCCAAAACAATAGCTTCCTAACCAAGAGCCGCGAACATGACAGATCATAAAAGCCTAGGAAACCCTAAACCCTAAACCCTAAAACCCTAAAACCCTAACACCTCAACCCTAAACCTAGGAATGTCCCTAAAGCGTCCTCAGAAGCCCAACGTGGAGCGATGAACGACACCTGGAAACCCACGAGTCCAAAATCTCCAAAGTCCTGTAGACTCTAAACCCTAAACCTAGGGTTTAGGGTTTATGGACTAGGGTTTAGGGCTTAGGGTTTAGGGTTTAGGGTTTAGGGTTCAGGGTTTAGCGCTTAGGGTTTAGGGCTCAGGGTTTAGGGCTTTAGGGTTTAGGGTTTAGGGCCTGGGGTTTACCCCTAAACTCCGAAACCCACCGAAAGCAAAATCAGGCCCTGGCTGCCAGCGGTGCAACCGTGCCTCTGTTCCAGCTGAGGGTTTAGGGTTTAGGGTTTAGGGTTTTAGGGTTTAGGGTTTAGGGTTTAGGGTTTAGGGCATCATGGAGATAGTCGTAGTACTAGCACTAGTGGTACTACGATAGTAGTAGCAGCAGTAGTAGCAGTAGTAGTAGTAGTAGTAGTAGTAGTAGTAGTAATAACAATAAGAAAAAATAATGATACCCATACTGAAAATAGTAAGAACTTTGCTAACATGACTAGCAATACCAGAAGAAACAATGACAATAAGAATGGTAATACAATTAAAAGTAATTCTGATACTAGCAATAAAAGATAATAGAAATCATGATAGGAATATAAACGATAGTAACACTACTAAGAACAGTAATAATGCTAATGACAATAATAGTAAGAGTAGTAGTGGTAACAAGTCCGAGATTCTTTCCTGTGAACACAGTGCTTGCGGCGATGACAACGGTGAGGATAACGAGCTTGCTGCGATGACCATGGTGATTAGGACGACACGACGGCGACGAACATGACTGCTCACCTGTGTCTGCCGATAACACTTTGGCCTGGCTATTCTGATCTGCACAGTAACATTGATATACAAGGGATACAAAGGTTTTAGGGTTTAAGGCGTCGGGTTTAGCGTTTAGGGACCATGTCTTACTCGTACGCACACTGCCACTGTCATGGCGCGTCCTAAGCACCAGCAGTGCGTCTCTCGTTATCCTCCTCTGTGTTGGGTCTCGACGCTGCGAATACCTACCAGCTCGATCATTACATAAACGTGTTTTTGTGTGTGTGCGTGCATGTGTAGACATAGATGCATGGACAGATACGTCCATATTTGTTGGCTCGTTATGCAATTCTACTGATAAGCATTAGGTTACACTACATTTGTGTATTCGCTTGTTTATTCATTTCTCCTCACAAGTGACAAACCAGACTTGTTGTCGCCGCTGCCACTGCTGTGGCTGTTCCCAACCCGAAAACCATAACACAACGACGCCACAAGAAAACCCTTGAGAAAAACTCCCCTCGACCCCTGACTGTGTACAACAAGAACTGAAAATCTACACCCTAAACTTTCGGATACAGCCCCGTGGGCGAAGGCTGCATGAGAAACCTTGCAAATTCCTAAAAAAAAACCTTCAGCAAACCATTTTCAACAACACTGCAACGAATTAATGATATCACCCTTTGAAAATGCAAACAGCAGTCATGACAGTTTCGAGAACATGCGTCAAGTTCAAGCCAAAACAATAACCTCAAGCTGGACAGCCCTAAATCCCTCAATCCCTGAACCCTATGCCCTCAACCCGTAGACACTGAACTGTGTAGCCCTAAGCCCCAAAACCCCCAAACCCTGAAGCCCGGAACCCCAGAGTAGCCTTTTGCAAGCCTGAGAGAGCCCTTGCAGGAACCCTTAACGGAACGGTTTAGGGTTTAGGGTGTAGGGTGTAGGGTGTAGGGTTTAGGGAACACTCAAAGCCTTGAAGGAACCCTACACCCCTAAACCCTGAATTCACAAAACTCCTACTTTCAGGGTCATGGGACTTACCAGGGACCACTTTTAGAACCCCTTACGGGAATCTGAACCTTTAAAGAACCCTTTTAGGAACCCTAAACCCTAAATCCTAAACCCTAACCCCTAAACCCTGAACCCTAAACCCTAAACCCTGTAAGGAACCCTAGTAGGAACCCCCGAGCCGAGCCCGGCGCTCCCTGAGAGCGCTAAGCGCCCGGGAGCAGCCCTGAGTAGGGCAGGGGTTTAGGGTTTAGGGTTTAGGGTTTAGGGTTTAGAGTTTAGGGTTTAGAGTTTAGGGTTTAGGGCTTAGGGTTTAGGGTTTAGGGTTGAGGGTCTAGGGTTTAGGGTTTGCAAGGGCCTCAACACTAAACCCTGAAGGTTTAAGGTTTAAGGTTTGGGTTTGGGTTCAGGGTCTCGGGTTGAGGGCTTAGGGTTTCAGGAGGCCGTCAGAAACAGAACAATCAAAAGGTTCAGGGTTTAGGGTTTAGGGTTTAAGGTTTAGGGTGTAGGGTTTAGGGTGGTGTATTAAAATTTTGACTGCAAGGGTCAGAGGGCTTTGGGGCTGTGAAGGCGTGATCGGGCTGTATGCGCGCTGTAAGGTTTTATACGGCTTCCATATTGGAGATTATGGTGGTTTATATGATGTTGCGGCTTGTGTGGCGTGTCGGTAGGGTTTTGCAGTTTAGAGCATGAAGACTTGTCGGGCTTAATGGCTTTAGGGTGTTCAGGGTTCTACAACAACGTGGGGTTGAAACGGTTATACCCTAAACCCTAAACCCTAAACCCTAAACCCTAAACCCTAAACCGTTTAGGGTTTCGTCGGGGACTGCAGGGGTTTCCAGATTTCGCAAGGCTTCATCAGAGATGTGTCGGAAATTCTTAGAGGGGCTTGATTAGGCTTCAGGACATTGGGGCAGGGTTTAGGGTTTAGTATACTTAAAGGATCATCGGACTTCGTAACTAGGGTTATACATAAGGTAACTCTACTTAAAACTAAAATATAACCCTAACTTAGGTACTTGTAACCTTACTTACTTTGCTGAAGCCTTCAGAGTATCAGGGACTGAAGTGCACGGCACGGCTTTGTGTTTGGTCTGCGTGCTTTGGTATGTGTGTTTCCAGCGCACAGTCAAGATTTTGCAGGCAGCTGCAGGCAGACATCCCGTCGACCAACATGGCTGTTGCTAAAGCCTTCAGAATATCAGGGACTGAAGGGCGCCGTGCCCTTCAGTCCCTGATACGCTGCAACAGTTCCATGTTGGTCGACGGGATATACAGGCTTGGATCTGCTGCACATTCTTCAGCTTAACCTGCACGACGCTCTGCTGTCACCACCGTCGCCAGCATCACCCCAGGTGACGACCGATCTGTCGCTAAGAATGGCAGCAAAAACGTCATTAGAGGCTTGGATCTGTTTCACATGCTGCAGCTGATGTTGCACAGCACTACGGTCACCACCAGAATCAGCACGACCCCAAGAATGGCAGCAAAAGCCTGCCGAGAGGCTTGGATCTGCTGCACATTCTTCAGCTGATGCTGCACAGCACCACTGTCACCACCACAGTAAGCATTTCCCAAGTCAGGACAGAACCATCGCCACGAATGGCAGCAGCAAAAGTGGCGATATTGGCTTGCATCTGCTGCAGATTCTTTAGCTGCTCCCGCACAGCGCTGCTGTCACCACCAGCACCAGGTGGCGACAGTGTCGTCGCCCAGAACGGTGGTAAAAGCACTGCCGTTGACACATGCCTGAACTGGGCGTAGATGTAGGGTCAGTGAATCACCTGTCTGCAGATTGGAATCCTTGATCTGTGCCTTTGCATCCAGAACGCTTCCAAATGAGTGCAGCAGTCGCCCTCCGCCGACTCACAGTGCGGCCTGTGCCCGATATGTCAATGCTTCAACATCTTCATCCATGCGTGCTGTCACACTGGCTGATTTGCCACGGAGCAATCCAACCTCCACAGTAATCACGCAATCGACATGGCACACGGCAAAGGGCGACCAGAAGACCTGCTTGCGGTGACTACATGTGAGGATGACTGCACTGCGTTGCCAGACTGCCAGCACAAAGGTCCAAGCACGTCTTCGGGTTGGTGGGCCCAAACGTCGGGCACGTGGTCTCTCAAGGCAATGTAGGGTCCTTTAATTAGAATAAGGTTTGGGGATAGCAGGCTATAACCGTAATACAGAAAACCAAGGAAGACTATTATTCAGTATTTAGAGCGCTATGTATACAGATACATCTATGCATACACGCATATGAACCTGTGCATAATTGTCTCTCTGTACATATATATATATATATATACACTTATATATATACATACGTACATGTATGCGTATATATATATATATATATCGACGGATACATAGATAGACAGATAGACAGATAGACAGATAGACAGATAGACAGATAGACAGATAGACAGATAGACAGATAGACAGATAGACAGATAGATAGACAGACAGCCAGACAGACGGATAGATATACATACACATATACACAGACATATTCGGATATCGAGGCAGGTCTCCATTTTATCCTCACGTGTTTCTTCTGGGATATGGAAAATGCTGCATGTGCAACACATCTATATCTCTTGGAGTATCCTTTCACCCCCTACTTGGAACCACCCATGCATGCAGACGAACTGAGACACACAAAGATCCAAACAAACGGGGACATGGAGCCTGCACGGGCTTCAGGGTTTGGGTTTAGGGCTTAGGGCCAGGGTTTAGGGCATCATCTCAGGGCTCGAGCAGGACAGCCCTCACAGATAGTGTCTGCACTTGCTTCTTTCCTTTTCGCTTCGATTCTTGGGCCTAGTCACCATTCTCAATGGGTTTGCCTGAAGCTTATTCCTGCGCCTTGCGCTTTCTGTTTCCAGCCGAGATGCATCAGTATGATTCTTCGGATTGCAGGAAAGATGGCCCAAGCACACCTAAGCATCCACGGCCCCAGATACACCCTTTTGCTGTTGGCCTACATTATCATGTCTAGTACCCTTGCAAACAAAGTAAGGAACTGAGGGAACTACAAGTGGTCAACAACCTCCGACCAACAGCAGCAGCAAACAGCCCTGACGTTGATGCTCCCTAAACCCTAAACCCTAAACCCTAAACCCTAAACCCTAAACCCTAAACCCTAAACTGCTGGCATGACTTCGTGGGACTACCAGGCCCCACATCTCGGGCGAGAAACCCCAGTATGATGGGATCCTAATGGAAGGATCCCCAAACAAGGGTTTAGGGTTTAGGGTTTAGGGTTTAGGGTTTAGGGTTTAGGGTTTAGGGGTTTAGGGTTTAGGGGTTTAGGGTTTAGGGTTTAGGGTTTATTTCCAGGGCTCCCAGACAATAGAGGTCCTATCCTGTTCTGTGTGTCCTCTACTTACAGTCCCCGCTGCCTGGAACTATGATGATGCTGCTGATGATGATGGTGGTGGTGGTGATGATGATGATGACGATGATGGTGGTGATGATGATGATGCTGATGACGATGATGATAACGATAATGTGGCGTAGCAATATCTGTTCTAGCTCCAATGCCTGCCAACCCCGTCTGCTCTCATACATAAACAAGACACACACACACACACATATATATATAGTTTTATATACATACATATGTGTTTATTTGGATGTCCAGTTCTTATGTATATTTGTGTTTTTATATATATATATATGTATTGTATACAAATTAGGTACTCTACATATTATATATATATATATATACATCTATGAATTTGATGTCTGAACGAAGAAGGTTTAAAAAACAAAAAAAGAAAATCGGGCCAACAATAGCATGACAATGCTACCAACCATACTCCTGCTGTACCCGGCATCAATGAGCCTGCAGCCCGACACCCTAAAATACCTAAACCCTGAAACCTAAAGTCGCTGAACAGTAAAACCCCTGAACCCTAAACCCCAAAATCGCTGAACCCTGAAATCCCTAAACCCCAGAATCGCTGAATGCTCACCCCGAGAGCCCTGCACCTGCAAACCCCTAAACCCCTTTACCCCTACACCCCTAAACCCCGAAACCCTATTTGGAGGATCATGGGACTTGGTAGATAAGGTTGTAACTGCCTGAGTTGAAGTTTAATAAGTTAGTTACCAGCCATTATAAGTCTAGTTACTTTACTTGTAACCCTAGCTACTAAATCCCATGAACCACCATGTATGACTCCCTAAACCCTAAACCCTGAGTACCCTAAATACCCTAAACCCGACATACCCTAAATACCCTAAATACCCTAAATACCCTAAATACCCTAAACCCTAAATACCCTAAACACCCTAAACCCCTAAACCCTAAGCGGCAACCCTAGGTTTCGGGCGTTTGGTCTGGGCTTCTAAGGT